ATTATCAGATCTGTATAATTCGAACTTCATGAAACTTCAGTTCTAAATGATTAAAACCGACTACTAAAACACTTGTTTTGAAGGCAAAGCATTTTTACAGAAGTTCCCATGGGTAGAAGCTATTCGACTTTTCTTACATTATGCTCACCTGCCGTCGGTTGAAAATAGCTATTAACCATACGAACTCCTATTCAAACAATGTAAAACTCCGTTTTCGAAAATTTTGAATCATATAGTGACGTGGTCGATAGTTTGAAGTCAATAAAGTTCCAATTAAAATCAGAAAACATTCTAAAGCCGCACGTTTTGATAATTATAGCTGTTAATCTCAAAAATCACTGCATGTTTACCTTTGCCATACTTGATAATCTATTCCATTTTAACAATCTCTAAGTACTAGACAGTAGATCAGTCTTGTTTGTGCTAACTTGGGCCTCTCCTTTTGTATTTGATAGGTAAGAACTACGAACTTCTAGATGTTCCTGGTTTTGACTCTCCCATTAAAGAACATCGTGATGCCGGTTTACAAGCAATAAAAACAGCTGACGCATTCCTTTTTCTTACCAGCGGTCAACAACCAAGTCTGACTGAACCACAGATCTGTCTTCTCCATGAAATTCAACAAAATCATTTTGAAGCAATGCAACGTGCGTTCGGTATCATCACCAAACTTGACCTCTGTCAAACTCCAACCATCTATCAAGAACATTATGAAAAAGCTTCTACTGAACTCATTGATAAACATTTTAAACCAGAATATATTTATGCTGCCTGTCCACGGATGCAAATTCTGAATGAAAACTCCGAAGAATTTCGTGTTATTAATCAAAAACTACATAGTTTTGGTGGTGATTTGGAACAAGGATTCAAACGAAGTAAAAATGGTCTCAATAAATTTATTGAATTTGAATTACCAAAAACGCATTTGAAACAGCTGGTTGATTTGGGACGGATGCGATTAGTTCGACACGTATTGGAACGACTTGATAGAATCAAACAAAATCAGTTCTGGCCACAAAATCTGGCTATGACGTCAATTGATGAGTATATTAAACAATACAACACAGAGAATTGGGACAAAATTTTCTATGAAAATATCTTTCAACCTGCCTTCGCCAAAGCAAATCACTGGCATACAACCATCGTCACCAAAGAACGTACAAAATTTGTCGATAATGTTAGACAAAAATTTCATGACACTTTTCTCGATCTCACCGAAGAATTTCGTAAACGTACATATCCAATTGAACAACTGATGTTTGAAGCATATCGCTATTCAAAACTTCAGTTAAATTCACATCCAACTGACAATAAGCTGCGCGAAAGACTAAGTATTGAATTGGAAGATATTGTTGGTCAAACATCANGTATTGTCTTAGAAAACGATTTTTTTCTCATCAATTCTGCTTCTAATGATGTGGTAGTACAATTTATTTCTTCGCAAACAAGATTGCATAGTAGCAGGCAGAGATATATAGACTGTCAGCTCTGATAATATTGCGCCAAAGCAAGGAGAGGGTGTGGGTATGAGTTTGGGTGTTCTTGCATCCTCCATACATGAAAATTCGCACCCACAACACTAGCGTGCTACATAACAAAAGCTAAAAACTTTTTTTCTTAGTTCCAATTTTCTATCAGAATTAATTTCGATATAACTTCATGAAAATCTGTGAGTGTAAAAGCTTAAGCTTTCAAAATGAATTCTAGTTCATATGCTACACTCATTAGAGAAACATGTGCTCCATTGTAGTAATTTGTAATTTGCTAATAGCGTCTTCTCTCTTTTTTTACTAAAAATACTTTTATCCTTTTATTATGAATTTCTCGACTATTTTTCGCATCGATCAATTCACGTAGCAACTAATTTTCGTTTGACCATTCTTCGCTTTGCTGTTTTTCAGCAGAGGGCACCTGGGGACCATGTCACGGTCACGAGCTACTTAGCAACGGTCAGAGGTGGAGATGGCGACATAAGTAATTGTTGCTTCGGTCCTCCTCATCTACGCCAACATCCACACCCACACCTTTGGCGTGGCTATTGCTTCGTGACCAAAAAAACATTATTCGATAATAGTTTTCATGTAGGATGTGAAAAAATAACTCTAATTTGATCTATTGTATGCAGAATTTTTCTCCTCTTCAAGGACATGGATCGTTTTCAGACAAGAATTTACGTTCGATTCGTTTGAAATATTTCCCATAGCAGAACAGAACTCATTATTTCTAGTCACTCCTGTCCATTTCATTTCTCTTATATGAGTTCGACTTCTATTTGAACTTCTAAAAAACAGTCTTTTCTAGTAGACTATTAGTAGAATTCATATATGGCTCGCATTGCTGTGAGCAAATCAATGGTGATCAGCGAGCACGCAAAAGTTGGATTAGTCTAACTGTTTTGAATTTAGAAATTTCAGATATCGCTGATTCAGATAGGTCCATGCACTTTTCTATGATAAATAACCTTTCGCTTCAAATTATATAGTAAATTCATGTGTGCACTAAATGCAAAGATTTAGGTTAATGGTAAGTTCTAAACTTCGAAAACCAAAGGTATTGAACTTGAATTAATTGATTTGCAAACAAAAATCAATCCTAACTTATTCGAGTCAATGCCAGTTGGCAAAAACTAAATTGAATCATTAAGACAGAAACAATATCGATTTACATGAATTCTACTAGTATACAGGAGTATCGAGTGTATGCTTCACGACAATATTGTTTTGATTGAGTAATGTCGTAAAAGCTCGGTTGCAATCCATGTTTTGTATCACTTAAAATATATATTGAATTGGCTGTTAAATCGCATGCCAATCCATTTTTCTTCATTAACAATATATTTTAGTGAAATTTTCAACTACCGTTCAAAATTGATTTATATCACGATCTTCCAGCTATTTTTTTTACATGAGCATTTTGTAGAATAGAAAACATTAGTTTGTGATACGAATTTTCTGTTTTTTATTATTGTAGCACTGGTATTTTCATTTCTGCATCGATTTGAAAAATCTTTTTTACCAACATGATCAACGTAAAATGCTATACAGAATAGGCGATATTGGAAGCTTTTAATGACCTTCATGTTTTTGTGTTTGATATTCGAATACTCATAGAACCACGTATGATAAAAAAGGTGAAAATCATTAGAAGTAGTTGAAAAATACCTCAGAATATGTACTCTCATGACGTTGATTTTACTTGCCATATCTGTTCCTCAAATCATTGCTTTCGCAAAAACATAGAAAATGCCACAAAGATCCTTCAATATGTGTAAACACAATGTCACTTCACTTGAATTGTAACTGTCTACTGGTTTTGGAAAGTTGGGAAAATCTTATTCACGAAAAATAATACAGATGATTGCTGTCAAATTTTAATGTTTACATGTTAGTCACTCGAATTCGTGCATATGTTTGAAATACTGGTTTATGCTAGATTCGTTACCGGCATAGTATTCGTGAGTATTGGCCTAATCTGTACAGGTTTCCACTTGATGCATATCATTGCCAAAGCTTCTCGCCGAAATTCAGAAAGAGCAATAAAATAAATCGGAAATTCCATGACATGATAAGTGTAAAGTACTGAATCAAATAAATTTTGAAGAGTTGCACTTGTAGTATTAGCAAAAAACCCAAAGATAATAGTAGATGGCATAGTCATGATCGAAAAAAGAAATGTCAAAAAAATAAGTGTAAACGAAATGGCTCGATGTTGAATGCGTCTATTTTGAGCTCTTGCCATGTTTTGAATACAGTTCATATGATAGATTGTACCGCTGTTGAAAATAGTCATTAATACAAATGGTATACAGTTGTATACAACGAAATGAACAATCTCCATTTTAGGATAAATTTGGTAGAAAGTACCTTGTACATTGACAGAACCATCACTGTTGTAATAACAAGCAAATAGAAAGAAATGAAAATTGAATAGAGTAAAGAAGGTCACGACGGATCCAATAATGATAAGAACACTTTTTGAACGACTGAACCAGGTCCGATGAAAATGGCTCGATGCTAAGTATCGATCGAGAGTGATGAATACGCGTAGCCAAGCTGATACCTGCGATGCAAAATGGTTGAGAAATGAAAAAAACTTGCATGAGGGTACTGAATAAGATTGAAGGCTAAATCCATGTATAGTTGAAAGATAATGATCAAGATTCCATCCATATAACATAAGAATATCAATGATGGCAATGGCACGCATATAATGAAGTGTTGGTCGTCTGTTCGTGTCGCGAAATGTTGATCGACAGAATACGGCAAATGTAAGAAGATTGATTATGGTACCCACAATGACAAGTGTCAAAGGATAATAAGCACTGAACAAGTGGAATACGGATAGAACATCGTCGACTGTCGTATTGCTACTAGTCTTTAACATGATGTGATGCATTAATGATGTTGTTTTTTCGCTGTTTCATAGAATAGAACCTTCTAAACTATTTTCTCTTTCCATCAAGAAAATGTTGCTTGCATGAAAGCTTGAAAAAGGATAATATTCACGCAACCATTCAAATGACTCTTCTTTATTCTGATTCATATTGGACTGAAGACTTTATCAAATGACATTTTTTTGATCAAGATAAAAAGACACGAATAGAATCATTTTCTATAACTTTCACGTTGGAAGACGCTGAGATTATCTCGGAAAAAACAAGGGAATTGATCTCAACGTGCTAAATTAGTCCGAAAAATGATGAAATTGGGCTCGTTTTTTTCCGAGTACAAATTGTAAGGAAATGATCTCGGACAAAAAACTCATTAACGTTGAATCAGCAAAATTAGAGGAAAAGATCTCGGTTGGATATGCTAAAGAGAAAACGGAAATATAATGCCCTAGTTTATGTTTTTACTAATAAACAGAGTACACTATGATAACGAAATACAATAATTTTATATTTATTAATATCTATTGACTAATCGATCAACATTCTGCGATTTGTACAAATGAACCAAGTTGTAATTTATTTCTCATGGTATACTATTCTTTTATATGGCTGTTCAAGCTTTCTAATCCATTGCTGTTCAAAGAATCAAACCGAAAGACCCCTTCGTACTAGTAAGGCAAATGAGATAACCATTGATGTTCAAAACATTGTATAAATTTAAGGAGATCTTTATCAAGTGACCATTTTTGTAGGGTTAATTTTGCACCAATGAAAAAAACTTGTTCGTCTAATTCTAACTGTAAATTGGTGAAGTCTTGCTCTCTATCATTAGGTATATATACTGGATTACACAGAATTGAAAAAAAGGCTTTGTAAATTATGTTTCTCTACCATTCGTCCGTCAACATACATGATGTTATCAGATGAATTATTTTAACTCTTCTGTTCATTCTATCTATTCATCATATACACTAGTCCCTATATAACCATAAGCGCATATATGTAGAATAAACCGAGATCTTTTCCTCCAATCACGTTGATTCAATGTTAATGAGTTTTTTTCCGAGATCATTTCGTCATTTTTTTTCCTTTCACGTTTATAGAAAATTAGAAAGCAAAAACTTAAATCTATGCTTTGAGTGAAGAACAACATTCAATATTGAATACTCTTCCTGCAGACAAATGCTATATCGCACATAAATTATACGTTGTTTGACAATAATCGTCTTCTTAACATAAATTAACGATTGAGAGAAGCCTGAGTTTTTGCTTGAAACGAGACATAAAATAGCGTTGTCATGTCTTGAAATTATATATCATTTGTTTTTGTAGGATATCAGCTTGTGTGTTGATTGGAAAGAAACTCATGCAATGAAGATTAGTATACTCTTTTATCAAAAAACTCTCAGCAAATTGGAAAATGAAAAAGAAAACTGAAGTGGATATATTTTACCTCTTTTAGGGTAACTGATCAAGTAAGTTATCATACACACACTTTATTTGTGATAAACGATTCTATAGATTCATGTTAGTTCAAATCAATTCGATGCGTGGAACATCAGCAGCACTGTTATTACTACTATAGCGTCATCAGCATCAAATTGTGGCAGGCTGATGTCAATATATTTATAAGTTGTGAATACACGGAAGACAACGTGGGAAGAAAACCAAATCAATAGAAGACCGACAAAATATAAACAGCGACGAAGAAAAAATTGAGCGATAAAATTACTACATGAGAGGGAAATAGGGTATGTTCGATGATGCTGAATAATCATGGACGGAATACTAAATTAATTTATAGGCACTTTGACAACTTCCAAAAGATGACGAAAGTAGGAAAATGAATTTGTATCTTACGCTGTTCTCTATTAAATTTTATCGTCGAGACTTGAATCTTTTTCAGAAGATAGTCGATTTGATTCTCTATAAATGCGTAAAAAAATGGTTTTAATGAAATACAAGCATGAAACCCTCTATAGTGAATATCAATCTAGCGCCAAAGGAAAATCGTTACATATTTTTATGGTTTTGATTGCATTCTTTCCAAGGTACTCACCATTGTTCTTCGAATCAAGCTATGAATATGGGCATTATCATTA